TCCACTTCCCATATAACGATTTAGTTTAAAACTACTAAAAGTGCGATAAATCAATAACTAAATGCGTTAAAGACATACAATTTTACTCCCGAGATGATAGAAGAATGCTTTATAGGTGCCGCTGTTAAAATTGGTGTCCACTTTAATTTCGAGACCTGACTAATCGATTTTAATTAAATTCGGTAGGTAATATTGTTCGGTTTCACCTGAACTTAGCTCATTCTTACCTGCTTAATTTACTTTTGCCTAAAAGTGTGTGTTATTCTTTGCAAAAATATTTGATTAGCATATATTTAATAGAAAAACATTTTATTTTTGTTTTATATATACTCAAAAGCCGATTATAACCCCAATAAATATAAATATTTTTTAATTAATAATCAAATTTTTATATTTTTAACACTTTTCTTTTATTTGTTTCGAGTCTATTAACAAAAATGTAATTAATCACTTTTAAAATGTATGCTGAAATAGACTGAAAAATAAGATTTCCAGTTGCTCTTGATATACCCGAGACCTGAGAAATATTTGCTATTAATAAATGCTAAAGGAAATAACCGTTAATATTTTAATAAAAAATACTTAAAATACAAACAAATTACTTTTAAATCTTTATAATTTTATTTTTATAAAAAAGCTTCCGAATTATTACGCAAAACTATGGAAAAACCATTCTTCAGCTATAACCTTTTATGATTTTCTTTTTAATTCTCTTAAATTAGAAATTGAATTTTATAAAAAACTTTAAAAAATATTAATAAATATATGGTATGTATCAAAAAATTTCGATATTGTAGAAAAAAAAGTAGGCGTTTTTCAATTATAAGGCGACATTCTGAGAAAAGAACACGCCACTTTGACAGCCCGTGCTTATGGCAACATTTTTGTAAAAAAAGAAAATGCTATAACTGTCTTCACCAATACTAAGCCTATAGTCTATAGATCGGATATTTAAGAAAATCTTCTTATCTGCTTTAATTTGTGGAATTAAGTATTTTTTAAAACTGTGTACAGTTACTCACAATTTGCATACTCCCCCCCCCCTTCAGTAATGACATTGCCGCTTCAGGCATCGACTTACAACACGTTTCTGTGTACACAACGAAGGTGTAACCGGACTCACCGTTTACCCCTTCAAAAGTAAATACAAATTGTTTGTACATTCACTTACGCCCATTTACATTCACTACGTTGGCTGTGACAGTGATCGCCTAGCAACGCCGCCTGAGCAGCCCCAACATCGCAAAGTCCTTCGTAGCAGTTCATCATCCACTTTTCGCTATTTACATGCTTTAATGTTTAAAATATTGTAAGCAACATTTATAATTTATTGCCACCACCTGGTATGGGGCAGGTGGCAGCATTGGTAAACAATTGGTTGAGTATGACATGAATAGCCCGTGGTCATTCAGCAAAAGCTGTCAAGTACTACGCCTACACTTTGCTACGACGCATCACGTGCCTTGCCACCCACCATTTCACTATACTACGTATTTCATGCAACACTTCACCTTGACTGCCTCAGCGTCGACTAGTATTTATGCATCCTGTGCGTTGTTTCAAAAGCGCCTCTCAGTTGTCTGTGCAGCTGCTGGAATTTCATTATTTGCTTACAACGATGAATCACGGAGCACTCTGATTTCGCGTTTGACATTGACTCACTTTACTAATTTCATTGTTGGACTCTTTTTCAACGCTTTTTGATTGCAAAACAATGGTTTGAAAAACTACGAGAGTAACGTAACATAAAGAAACATATGCTGTTATATACTCCAGCAAGTTTTGGCGGAATTTAATGCACTATAATAGTTGAAAATTTAATTTTTTAAGGGAAATAAAATTTTCTATGGATTGCAAGAGATTTAATTTTACAAACTCATAATTTAAAACATTATTTGAAAATGGTATATTTATGCATATTTCAGGAATAGATAGCTAAAGTTTTGTTGAAAAAAAATAACATTTTTCGAGTTACACGCGATCTTCGAAGGCGCTAAAAATACATTTCTGCCATTGCTGCAGTGTTTCCGGCCTTCCCCGTTGATGAAACCTAAAAAAAAACTTTTTAGAAGATACTGTGTGTAAAATTACTTAGGGTTGAAAAAAAATTGCGGCGTTAAAAAAATTCCTGTATATTACCCCAAATTCTGGTCGTTTTCGGGCTGCAAAAATTCGGGTTTTATCGGATAAAAAACTTGGTAGATCATTATAACATATGGAGAACTATAGAGTACTACAAGTATATACAGAACATGCAGCAAAAATTTGATAGCACATGTATCTTTGCCTCCGAGTAATCACTGCAGCAAATTTACTTTTGAGAAAAATCATGTTTAAGGATAAACTAAAAGAGCTGAGCAAGTGCAGCCGCTCAACAGTAACTCAAAAATTAATTAAGATATTCATTTAAAATTTTATTGTGTAATTTTTAAAAGCTGTTGTTGATGTAGCGGCAGAATCATGCCGAGTTGACAGTCCATAGCCAGATAAAAATCCGGGTCCGTTCCGGTTACATAGACCCGACTGTGGTGGTAGTGTAGGGATAGTGACTACCTAAATATGAAAATAAAAGTTTTTTTTTTTTAATTTTACTACGGCACACTTTATATCTATGTATAAACCAGAAAGCACTTACATAGAATGTAATAGTTATATATATATTTTTATAAATATATTTAAATATAAAATATAAATTGGTATTGAATAAATATAAAAATTAACAATAACTTATTAATTTCTGAATAAAATCCAATTCAAGTCTCCATCAATAAGTATTTGATGTTTATTTAAAAGTCTATTAATTTCTATGAGAACAACTAAATTTAAATGTATTAAACGAAAAATTTTTCAAAATTATGCTCGTAAAATTACGCAAAACCAAGAAGTTACATTTATCATTAGAAAATTCAATATAACCCCTTTAGAAAACTACCGTTACAGGCAAAACCACGGCCACTACTAAACGTTTACTAATAATTAAACTGAATTGAAGCATTAAGGCGCCTACATCTCTCATGGAAATGGAAAATGTAGTAAAAGAAGAAAAAGAAGCTACAGAAAATAAATATATATCAAAGCAAGAGAAACTCTGCGATAGAGCGACTACGAAAATTGGCGCGAAAATTAAGTATTGCCACCTATTAGTTCTCCAAAGTTTTGCAATTTTCACACATTTTCTCTTTGCTGACACAATCGTGTATCGGCATTCGTGCCGGTTGAGCAAAACACGGAATAGCTGATAAATTTACGACATAAGATGCAATAAGAAATATTTATGTATGTAGTAGTTACAAGGCAAAATAATAACGTAGTTAATGTGGGAGGCATTTTTTCAGAGAGCGCCGAGAATATGCATACTTTTTGTGGGTACAACAGGTGGTTCTGTTAGCCGAGAGTTCTCTATAAAATGAAAGTGCTGTTACGTATTGTTGGGAGAGATTAAATGTTTGTGTTTTGTATGGAGAAACACAGAGCGAGAGTGAAAGCAGTAACGCTGGTATTTGTGAGTTGCGAATATTATGAAAGCACAGAGCGCGAAGTTCTGTTAACTGCAGAGATATTTTGTGTTTGTTTTTAATAATTAAATTTTATGAAAATGTAATAGAAAATTTTCTGTATATTTTTTCTCATATTTAACAATTTATTTCGAAAAATTTATTGCCTTTTTTTTACCAAATTTCATTCCGTGCCCATTAACATGCAGTTCTAGTCCCTAAGTTTTTGAGATCTCGATCTGAAATTTGGCACATGTCTTTTTCTCCCCAAGAAGCTGCGCATTTGGTCGAACCGCCGATATCGGAGCACTGTAGATTACAGCTGCCACACTTGTTTTTCTTATATTTTATTTTAGAAATTATTATTTTTTAAGCAAAGCTAAAATTTTCGTTAGAAAATTCGTAGTTTTTATCCGCTTACTTACCAAAAATTCAGCCAAGTTCTTATAAAATTACTTTGCGCCCTTTAAATTCCCCAAAATAGATATGTTCAAAGAATTATTATGGAATTTTTTCAATTTATTGTATAATTTAATTAAGTTTTTACGCATTCATTTCTACTTAATTATTTACAGTAATTAACAATAGCTATTAAATTCTATAATATTTATTATTATCATTTTTAACATCACTGTTATCATTATTATCAGCAATAACATTAAATTTCAGCTTTACAAAAAACAAAAACAAATGGAATTTAATAAAAACAACAATAAATTTTTTAACTTGAACGCATTTTTGTACCCAAATCAATAAACAGTTGAAAATCATATACATAGTAATTGTAAGCATTTGTGTGCATAATAATGTGTGCGTGTACAGCAACAACCGTTATTTTTATTGTATGCTGCACTCATACTTGTTTTTCTAATTAAAGAAAGAAGTGAGCTAAAATTGCCATATCTCATAAGTGGAAAATTCTGATACAATAGAAATTGCCACATACATATATATTTACATAAGTGAAATGTAAGCTTTCACAACGCTTATAAATACGTAATTTTAGGACCAACACAGGTGCGTTGTGATGCGAAAATGTAACGTTTTTTTTGTGAGTAAGCAAAAAATTTCGAACTTTGCACACCATGCGGCATTTTTGTGTGTATTTATTGTGCGTTTGTTCTCAAACTGTTTGTATGCATGCGTCGGTGTTGGGTACGTGCCTGCCTACATATCTATATTTCACTGCAGTTTTGCTTTGGTTTCTAAAGCAGATTTTTTTTGTGTTTGATTTTTTTTCATACAAAATGTGTGTTTTGTGTTAAAAATATTTTTTAATTTACTTTTTCTTTTATTTTTGAAATTCGTGTATATATTAAATTAATAGTTTTTTAATTTTTTTTTGCTTTTGTAATATTCCTAAAAAAAAATAATGTTTTGGCACAAATTAAGATGTTACATTTGTTTGATTTTGTAAGCCAAATACAAAATACAAAATACTAAAACTTTTTAACGTTTTCACTGTTTTCTCCACTTTTTGCTGCCGCTTTGGCTGCATTTCGGAAGTGTTTGGTGTGTTTTTTTATTTTGTGATTTTGTGCATGTTTTTTTTTTTTAGAATATTTGCTTTATTGAAACAGCTATGCTAGTAATATTAAGTAAACTACTTAATTTACCTTCATATTTTGCAATTTAAAATTATTTTTTTTAGCAGTATTGAATGCCAAAAATTTATATAAAAATAAAAACTATTTGAAAAAATGTGTATATAAAAAATAGTTTCTTTCAAAACTTATTTTAAGCAGTTAAATGTTAGATTGCTTAAAATAATTTTTTTGAATTTTGAAAATTTAGGATTTTGCTTTAAGGAAAATGCAAAATAATGTACATATATAAAACTGGTATTATAAATATTTGTTTGTTTTTTGTTTGGAATTTACCAAGGAAAATTTAATATATAATTTAAAAAATAAATGCTAGATAAAGCATATATTTTTCTGTAAAAATAATAGTAACTTAAAAAAAATAATAAAAAAAAAGTAATTAAAACAAAAAAAATATAAAAAAAAATACTTAACTAAAAAAATACATATTTTAAACAAATAGCCGGCGCCGCTAGTGTAAAATATGTGTTTGACTTAATTTAAAGTTTTTTAACCTAAATAACGTATGTAATTTGATTTTATATACTACTATTTTATAGCATAAGATCAAGCAAATTTTTAAAAATAAAGAAAAAGTAAATTAAAAAACAATACTATTTGAACATATAATACAAACAATAAATTTTTAAACTAAATATCATTAACTTAAATTTAGTATATTTTTAGTATAAATAAAGTTTCTAAAACTAAACCCAACTTTGTAGTTTTTTCACAAAATTTTTTGTTTAAAATTGTGCGCTTTTTTAAACCAAATTTTTAATTTTTTGGCGAAATTTTTTTTTAAAGTGTGCGCTTTTTTTAAACTTAATTTATTGTGTGCTTTTGTTTAAACCAAATCTGTTTTTTTTTTGCAAAATTTTTTGTTTAAAATGTGTGCCCTTTTATACTCAAATTTGTAATTTTTTCACAAAAATTTTTGTATTATGTGTGCTTTTTTTTAAACCAAATCTTTTTTTTTTTGCAAAATTTTTTGTTTAAAATGTATGCCCTTTTATACTCAAATTTGTAATTTTTTCACAAAATTTTTTGTATTATGTGTGCTTTTTTATATACGTGTGCTGCTGAATCGATAAATAAACCTAGGAAAACGTAACAATTGTGACTGACATTCACGGGGGACAAAATTACTACTTTTTGTTTTATAAAAACGAAAAAAGATTTTACAAATTTTTTAAAAATAATTTTTAAAAACTTGTTTACCAACTACAACTACTATGTTTGCAATTATGTGTGCGTACATGTATATACGCCACTATATCTCTACGTCTTTGTATGTGTATAGAACATAAATTATGTTTTGGAATTGCGTGTTTTCCAAATTTCATTGCCCTTTCTTTGTGTGTTTACGCTTAAATTTTTTTTTTAAATAACTTTGTTTGTGTGGAACTATATTTCTTTGTTTGTTTTTTTGTTTTTTTTTTTGTTTTTGCTTCTCCTTCTGCTTAATTCTATTTATAATATTGCTTATTAAATGCTAATAAAATTTGTCTACTTTAAACCTCATCGCTACATATGTATGTGTGCGTGTATGTAGCTTTGCGGAAATATTTATGTCAATGCGCTCTAATTTTGTTGCTTGTTTGCGTTAATTGAGATACTAGTTATAGTTAAATGCTATCTCAGCTGTTCTATGTATGTATATACGTATGTATGCATGCTTTATGTATTTATTTTGAAAATTAAAAAAAAAAAAAATTTGCTTACACTTACATCTGTTTATTAAGTACAAAAATTCGTTCGCCTACGCGTATGCTTCATTTTTTTTAATTGCAAATATTTTTTTTCAATTACTGGTGTGCTTACACTTGAGTGTGTTTGTCACCTTTGAGTGTTTTGCGCTGTTTGCGCTTTTTCTAATTTTTATTAAATTTAATTTTAATTCACACCGATATTGTCTTCAGTTGAGTCACTTTTTGACTCTGATATTATCTTTCTGTTTTCTTTTCTTTTCGTCCTTTTCGCCTTCGCTATATTCCCTGTTTGCTGGTTCGTTTACTGTTGTTGTTGTTATTATGACGATACAATCATTTGCCATTCCAACGCGACATCATGCGCTTGTTGCCGAAGCAGTCGCCGAAGAAACGATCCAACGAGTGATATAAATGCGGTCGCACTGACGCCAAGCTGTGGTCTTCATCGGTATAGCTCTGAAAGTGGTAGTTGGGAGAGAAGATGTTCAACTATGAATTTTGAAAAATAACTAATAAATAATGCGATTTAAGGTTATACTTTCAAAACATTTCTAAAATTGTATTACTATCTTAAACATAAATTCGGATTTCTTAAACATTTTTGGAACTTTTTAAACTTCTTTATATAACCTAAAAATTTAATTTGGTATAGCTTAGTAATTTTCTAAATTTTTCTTTAATTTTTTAGGGAGTCAAGTGATTTTTAAGTATAAGTCTTGAATTCTTGAATATTTCAGCAATATATACGCGCTTGACTCTCAGTTAATAGAAAATATTATTTAAAAAAATTTTTACAATTCTTGCAAAAGCAAAATATTAAGACTTTTTAGAATTCTAAGCCTTTGCTATAGTTAATTGAGACCTTCTGCGACTTATTTTTTTTTATTGCTTGCAAAATAATTTTTAAAAACACTAAAAATTCGTACAATACTCACAATTTGCTTAAATAGGATGTCCAATCTCTCCAAATTCTTCGCCAAAACCATAGCCTGTTGGTAGTGCACGTTGTCATCGAGAGTGCCGTGGATCAGCATGAATTTCTTGCCGCGCAAACGCTGTGCGCGTGTGGTGAGCTGTGAATTCGCATAACCGACTTCATTCAGTTTGGGCAGACTCATATAGCGTTCAGTGTAAATGGAGTCTACAAAGCATGCAAGTGACAGATATACAAAACACACTGTGTTACTGTAAACTAAAACTCACCATAGTAAGCCCAATCGGTTACGGGTGCTACAGAAGCGGCACAACGGAACACTTGACTGTCGTCATTGGCCAGAGCCATAGCGGCCGCATAGCCGCCATAACTCCAACCCCAGATGCCTGTGTGATTGGCATCAATGAATGAAAATTTCTGCTGCAGTTGTCTGGATCATGTTATAATAAAAAATTAATAATAAATAATATATAAAGAGGTATGCACGCGTTTGTATATATTGAGTTGTGCCCACCTGGTTACATCAACTTGATCGGTGATCTCTACAGTGCCTAACTTTAGATACACCGAATGCAATAGTTTATCACCACGTGAGCCAGATCCGCGTCCATCTATCTTGGCATAAATCACAGATTGGTTTGATGAAAGATAAGTGCCCCAATCGATCATCCAACGATCGAGCACCTGAAAACATAACGCAAAAAAAAAAACAAGAATTACAAAATATTACAAAAAACACAAAGTTTTGTGTGCATACCGAGGTAGAGTCGGGTCCACCATAGACGTCCACAAGTAGTGGATATTTAGTGTTGCCACTACGATCGAGATTGGGTGGCAATTGTAGCAACACTTTGGCAGTAAAGTTACCCGCAATCGGAAAGGTATGTATTTCATAGGTGGGCATAGCTTTCAGTTTCAGTTTCGCACGTAGTTCGGTATTCAATTCCCAATCGATAACTTTCTTCAGCACCACTTGATCTGTGTGTAGGTAGAAAAGGTTGAGCATGCTTGCTGTATATATTTTAAAATAAAGTGAACATACCATTTTCCCAGTTCCATTCATATAATACAGTCATCGGTATGCCGGGACCATCCGAAGTGATCGCCATTTGGCGTTCGTCACTGAAAGAAACCTCATAATATGTTTGCTGCACGTCTGTCGAAATAAAGATATAACCAATAGTCAGTACGTGAATATTCTCAACTGTATTTGCTGTTTACTCACCGCCCGATACATGCAGCCCACATGTGAGGCACTGTGGTGTACGGCCTGTGTCGGCTTTGATCGCATAAACATGCGCCACTTGGGATTGTTGTTCAGTATTAGCCATATAAAATATGACATCGCTAGCCGCATCCCAATGTAGTATACCCTCCACAACGTACTTACCTTTTGTTAGTGTTTCAACAGCGCCACCAGATGTTTTCGTCGAAAGCGTACAGATCTGACGATAGTAAGTCTGATCATCCTGTAGCTGTGGCAGTACAAGAGCTATGCGTGAACCGTCGCGGTTCTTGAAGGGTGGTGTAAACAAATTCACCCAACCAGTCTTCGATTCTATATTATAGATCTGTAAGAATGTGTGGGTTATTGCTACTGTTGGCTGACTATATGTACAATATATATATGAGCTTTAGCTCTGACACACCTCTAATCGACGTACACCATCGAAGACCTGCAGATATGCCAAATTTTGTATGCGATTCATCCAAACGGAGAGTACACGCTCATTGTCTAACCACTCGACCGCTGAGATGATATAGTCGGTCTCGGTGTTCAGCGAGCTGGGCACCGGAATCTGCGTGAGAAACTCTAAACCTTTAGCCGCGCGCGCCAAATCGACAGTATAGAGACTGACACGCGGATTCGAGGAGCCCGCCTTCGGATACGGTATAAACTTCGTGAGTGGATATTGAAAACGTGGTTCGTTGGCCTCACCGTAGATTGGCAAATTAATGGCGTGTGTTGGTGAGTCATCGAATTTGATGAATGCGATATGTGTGCCAGTCGGATTGAACCAGGTAGCGATGTTAGTGCTAAACACCTCCTCTTCATACACCCAATCGGGTATGCCATTCAAGATGGCGATACTCTCATCGCTTGTCAGCGGAATTGCTTCCGCATATGCTGTTGGCTTATAGTAAAGATTACGTTCGAAGTTGATGATCAGCCCGTTGCCGACGGGCGCCCACTGCGCAAAGAGCAGCAATTGTTGCACGCCATTGATCATCAACGGTTGTATCTGACCAGACGTGATATTATAAATGTCGTACTGCGCAAAGAAGCTGTGACGGAAATACTGTAAAGGAATGTAATGAGGTGCTATGTTGCACACCAATATATATTATATGTAGCAACACGCATAACTTACTTTGGACAAATTTTTAGCTAACAATAATAGCTCACGATCTGCGGACATCTCGAAGAGCGAGTACTGACGCTGTGTAAATTATATTAGCTGTGAAATATAAATAATTATTTCTAAAACTATTTGCCACTTACGTGCTCATCATACAGCAGCACTCTTTTCTTTTTCGTCTTCACGTCATACTCGACAATCGACTGCAATTTAAGTGGATTCTTTAGTAGCATTTTTGCTTATACTATTCTAGTAGCGCATATATATAAATTAAATATCTTACATTGTTTTCCCGGAAGAGTATACGCGATTGCGGCGTCCATGTACCATTGAAGCGATGCGCTGATAATGCCCCGGTTATGACCTCATCCAAATGGAGGCCATTATCTTTATCCTGTGGGCTCACATCATCATCATCCCCAGCTTTGATGATGAATGTTAACGCCACAGCGAGTAGGGCGATAACGATGAGCGCAGCGATGGTGCCGAGTATGATACGCAATTTGCGTATTTTCATCGGAGCGTAGCCCAGATTCTGTAAATATCAATAAAAGTAGATGCTTAGGGAATGTTTAAACAATTTTTTTTTTTCGCAGTAGATACCATTGTTGGAATTCAGTTCACTAGCGCATTTGATATTTTTTTGCTTAGAGAGTGAAAATATCATTTTAAAATGGATCCATTCTATCAAAAACAATTGTCTCACTAAGCGTTATGAAAGTAGCGAATCGAACACATTATACCAGCTTTTTAAACAGATTGTGCTAGCGTTTTCTCTAAAGCATGCGTAGTTTTGTTGTGCTTCCTTTATTAGTGGAGAAATACTTCTTTTAAAACACATATACTTGAATGTATATTAAAAGATCAGCGTGACGAGCTGAGTCGATTTAGCCATGTCCGTCCGTCCGTCTGTCTGTTTATGCGCGATCATCTATCAGTTTTTGACATATATTTCTAAAATTTTTCACACGTGTATTGTTCTTCAAGAAGCTGCTCATTTGTTGGAACCGCCGATATGGGACCGCTATAGCATATAACTGCCATACAAACTGAACAATCGAAATCAAGTGTTTGCATGGAAAACTTTTTCATTTGACGAGACATCTTTATTAAATTTAACATGAGTTATTGTCTAAGGAAATAATGCAATCTCAGGGGAAATTGTTGAGATCGGATCACTGTAGCATATAGCTACAGCTACAGCTACTGACGAACGGAAGTTCTTGCAAGAAACATTTTGTATGGTAATTGTGAAGGGTATTATAGCTTCGTTGGAACCGAAGCTAATGTTTTTTCTTGTTTGACAATAGAGTAGCGTTCAAACGTAGCGAGCAGAGAAATAGCGATGAGAGCTCATATCTATATCTGCCTGAGTTTACCTCATTCAAACCGGATAAAGTATTTCAAAAATCATTGCTTTAATCAATTGCGAATCGACTTTATGATTTAAAAGCATAATTTCAAATAAGTCTTAAAATTACTTAAATATATGTTTGCGTAAAAGAAAACAACTGTATTATTGAAAAAAAATTGCTGTAGGTTAAGAACAAGTAAACATGTTAGAAGAAACTAAAATCTATCTTATGTTTCCCAAGTTCATATTATAGAATTCTCTTCTAAAGGTAGCACATAAGTATGTAAACATGCAGATCGCTAGAAGATGAGAGAAAGCGATGGCTTTATAAAAAAATTAAAATAATAATAACTCACATTGACGTTATGCTTCGTTGCGAATAAAAAAGCAAAATAAATGCAGCTTATCTGCCGTTAAACATTCATCAAGATATTCATTCGACCTATTAAAGGTCTACTCAAGTCATTGCAATAAAATAAATCAGCATATTTATTACTTCGCATTATTTCGTTTGCATTACGGAAGCAATGTCTAAAGTACAACGGAAATGTGACAAATAAATTTCTCGCAAATGTAGACTCGTTTGATCAAAGCAGAGGCCAAGCAACATTGATATTCGTTGCACGTGCGCAACGTCACTTTGCAGCATTTACATTTATGTGAAAATATACTAAAATTATGTATGTCAGTGCATTGAAGTGGCGTGCCACCAGGCAGCTTGATAGCATGACGACCAACTGCTTGCTTTGCATAGCTTACGGTCGTTTAAGTATTTGTAGCTGTGCTGCATTGGGTGAAGACGGTCAATGAATTGTTTGCGCATGCGCAACCAACCAGTGCATTGAGTTGAGTGACTGGTTGGCATGCGAGTGGCGAATGCAAGATACCGATACCAATGTGAAAGGTATTCACACATGTGCATTTATATGCAAGTTTTGGGGAAAGTGAGTGGCAAGTTGTAAATAAATGAGCGTATAAACAAAAATAAATTGAAGTGCATTCTCCCTTTGTGTGTGTGTGCAAAGTCATTATCCGGTTACTTGCATGCAAGCGCAGCGCAGCACTACTCAAGTGGCATATACAATAGCATATTGCATCACTTGCGGCAAACACTGACCACAAGACCGCAAGCAAGCAAGTTTATGTAATCGACAATGAATTCATGTACGCGACAAACATGTCGGTTGAACTGAATGTAAATTCGTACATGCTCGCAAGTACAGAGAGAAGCGTGTATTTTTTTTTAGTGAATTTAATTGCAAATTCACGTTTCTTGCAAGTTGAGAAATTCAGTAAAATGAAAGATACGCTTAATGATTTTGAAGCGCGTAAAATATACACATTATTGCTTAGCGCAATAAGTTGAATGCATAAAATGCTAGCTAAATTTGCTGGAGCTGGATATCCGCTTTGTTATTTATTTCTATTAAATCTACAAGCGTTGCTGTAAATTACGCAACCGTGCGTCCAAAGTTGAAATTTTTTCCGCTGAATTGGTTTTTTTAATTTCGATTTCGAATCACAATTATTCGACTAATAGCGTTCCAAATCTTTTGTGTAAAATTTTGCAATTTCTCTGAATCAAAATACATCACAATTGAAATTTTGTTTATATGAATATTCAAATTGCGCTGAATTTAATATTAACAGTTAGAAAAAGTGTATTAATTTCATAAAGTGGATAGTAAGCTTCGCTGAATTTAGCTGAATGACGCTGAATTCAGCTGAATATGGCCAACATTTTTTGTAGACTTGACGAATTACTCGCATATTATTAGATTAGCTATTAAATGCTAACATCTTTTCAGAGTCCCGTGCAATATCTCGTTGGATTGCTGCTTTAGCTTATAATGATATATATTTTTATGCTATTACTGTTTACTACACACAGTGAGATCAGGCAGGCACCTAAGTGCAATTTTATACAACTTCGGCCACCACTACAATTGAGACTTTCCAGGCATTTATCAGCTGTCAGCACTTGCTTCGCATAAGAGAATCATAGCTGAATAATTGGTTGAAACACAAAATGCCTGAAAAGTCTGGCATGATGTTGCACGCCTACAAATTTATGTATACATATCGTTTCTTATACGTTTATTTAGTACTTTTAATAATTATCTGAATTTTGCATAAATCTGAAAATACTTCAGTGTAATAATTTGAAATTTAAAAGGCGCTGAATAAGCGCTTCTTTAATTTCCTAGGATTTTTGCTCAATAAATGCAACATTTTCTAAAGCGGATATATATTATTGTTGGTGTTTTTTTTTACTTATATTAAAAAATTAGTTGCTGAATTGAGCAGATTCACACTATTTTACATATAAGAGGCGCTGAATAGGCGCTTATACAATTTCCTAGAATTTTTTCCCATTAAATGCAACATTTTCTAGAGCGAGTAATTATTAATGTTGGTCTTTTTTACTTGGATTAATAAATACATAGCTGAATTGAGCAGAATCACATATTTTAAGTATAAAAGGCGCTGAATTAGCGGTTATACAATTTCCTAAGGTTTTTATCAACATACGCAGAAGCGAGTACATATGAATGTTGGTATTTTTACTTATATTAAAAAATTAGTAGCTGAATTGAGCTGAATCCCATTAAATTGCCTGATTTTACATATCGGCATTTAATTGATATATATACCACTAATATTCAATACACGAGCTTTGATGAATCTGTGCTGAATCGCTTACAATTACCCTTTCTTGCTAAAGAGTGTAAAAAATTACCAAATACAAGTATATTGTAAAGCACTATCGCAAGCGTAAAACTGGTCGCGTATCGATGGAAGTAATTGTTCAAATTTTGCTTTGAATTTTTTTCTCAACAAATGATTGTCACGTGCACACACAAATTGTTATTATCAAGTTTTGCTTTTCATGAAATTTTATAAAACAAATTATATATATACACAGTAACTTTCAACAATCATAAAAACGTTGTTGAAAAAACAACGAAAAAGTTTAAGAATTTATCGTGTAATATAAATATGTAGTGGTACTCGTATATATGTATATGTGAGTACATTTCTAGATACACACTGTCTGTTAGTTCAAAATTGCACATAATCACCAAATCCGATTGCGGCATAACTAATAATGTGCATTTTTTAGCCGTTAAACCACTCAAAACGCATCCCTTGCTTTTGCCTCCGCGTAAATAACTTTTATTTTCGTTTCTTACATAAGTAATTTGTTGGCATAAAACCAGTGTCTGCTTAGAATTTGTTATTACCTAAGTAAATACTTTACTTACTCCATTATGGAAGACGTGTCTATCTTTCTGCGTGGGGTGTGTATGTGTATGAATGTGCAACTATCTCCTGTGCTTGTCGGTGATGCTCCTCACGTACGCATAAACTGTACGTTGCTGGCATAAGACAACACAAACAAAAAATTGTATAAATACAAGAATATGATCCTAATGGCGAGTAAACTTTCATAATAGCGTTGGGTGGATAATCATCAAACCGCACCTTTACATGCTCTGCTGGCTTTGTGATTCTTGTAAAATTGATAAAAGTTTTTACACACACATTAAAGTGATTGTTTCTAGTTGATGGCGGATTATCAGTATTGGAATGTTACTTAATGCTAGAAAATTGGTTTTCTATGTATATTTGTTAGGTAAAAATTATTGTGTACATTTTTCTTGTTTCAAGAAATTACTAATATGAGTTATATATGCTCTGGTGTTAAGAGTTTTGAATTGAATATATTTCTGGAAATTTTTCAGTTATTTAGACAATGCGGTCCTGAATTCGAAATATTTTTTACATCACAGCCTTGTACCATACTTGTGTAGAGGTATTGAAAGCAATATCTTCTACAACTTTGTCTTGGTTATATAAATGCTCAAGTCGAAGTTTAATGTACTTAATTAAAATATCGATCGGTTTTAATTGTGCTATACTCTTTAGAAGAATTTTTGAAATATTTATGACTCACAGTTCGAAACCCCAACTGCTTTTAATTGGAATATGAGGTAAGGTTTGAGTTAAAGTTAAACAAAAGTTGAAGGATGAAAAATAATACTAACACCTGACGCTTGATTCTGAATTCTCTTAGTTACTGAGCAATTGGCTAACCCAGGAGATTATTATCGCATCTGCTTATAATGGATTTCAGTGAATATTATTGATTATCATATATTTATTATCCTAGAAAGAGG